ATTTGTTTTTTTCCCAGGTGAATTTTCCATTTTGGAGTGCCATGAGAGTTCTGATGTTTTTTTGCAGCTTATAACCAAGTTCCATGGTGATTATAGAAGCTATACATGAGCTGGTTTATTTCCTTTAGCATACTGCTTGGGGTTGTCTGTAGATTTTTTTTTACTGGTTTACTTTGTAATTGGTTCAAAATGGGGAGCCTTTGTCTTTCTGTGTTTTGGCTAATATAGTTTACTATTTTTTCCCTCAGTGATTTTGCTGTTCTGTCAACTCATATAATTTCTGGGTTTTTCCATAAGTTGTTCCTCTACTGATACATTCTCTTGTACTGTTGTGTCTGCCTCTACCTTCCATTTGTATTTCATACTAATGTCATTGTTCTGTGTTGATTTTTCTTTTGCCAGCTTTTCTAATTCTTGCAATTACAGTTCTGAAAACACATCATTCTGGATTATAAACCTTCTCTGGACCATTAATCATTGTTTAGTTATGTCACTATCTGAGTGCTTCCTTTTCCAGATTTCCATCATTCTTTTTTGAAAACCACAGGCTGTTGGGTCTGCCTCATAATAACATTTCATATGTATTTTTACAAACAACGCTCAATACTTTTTGCTTAGAGTAGCTCAACCCTAACACCAAAAAGGGGGAAAGAGTTCTAGCATTCTAGTGAACATTTTCTAATAATTTCTGATCCTTGCCCAAAGTTTGTGGTTTATATAGCTTATTAATAAATGCTGTCTGTCAGACCTTCTGTCTCCCTCTTCCCAGTACAAGGAGGTTCTGTTTCCTGCAATATTTCACAAGTTTACATTTTTCAGATTAATGATTATAAACTCTGAAATAAGGAAAATCCATTAGAAAATCCACTGGGGCTCAGTTTCCTCAAAGTCTCTTGCTGTCTCACACAAGGCTTTACTTTCTCTTTTGCAGCCCTGTCTAACAGCAACTAACTTCTCAGACATTCATATCATATTGTCTGTCTCTAATTCTAACTTCAACTTTGTCCTTTTAAAAGTTTTTCCTTCCAAAAAGTGGGGAGAAAGTCTGTGCTTTAATAAATCTCTCATGTTCTGTGCTTTACAACTCACACCTCATTTAACTTTCTACTACCATGCTAAGTATCCTTTAAAAAAACATCCACACAGACTGAATATTTATAAAGAAATGTCTTTTTAAATACTTTGCTGTACTGCTTAAAGCATTATAAAACTTATGATCAGGATATTTGTTCTGAGTTACTTTATAAAAATACATTTCATTTCAATGGAAAACTTGTTAATGAATGAATGCCTCTGTCACAAAAGTGAAAAAGGATTCTTCAACTAACTTGAAATACTTGATATGTAGTGTAGTGATTGCTTGTTTATACAATCTGAATAGAAACAAGAGCCAGAAGATTTGAAATGAAATATTAAATGAGAAATTATGCATTTTGTATGTCTTTTTAATACAACATAATGTTGAGAAGAAACAATTGGCATTTTAACCCAAACCGAGAGAACAAGTATATTCTTAGACACTAAACATACAGACTATTGAAACTATAACTTTTACTTACTTATCTGCGTTCATTTCATTTTATATATCAAAAAGAGAAAAGTGCATTGCTCTTATTAAAAACACCATGACCAACATGTACGTTAGTAATCATGTAGTAACTTATATCTACTCAAGATTTTCCAACTTAATTCCTCAAAAAATAACTCCAAAGGAAGGTGAATAGAAGAATTATCCTGTGTGTTCTAGAGTTCCAATAGCTAAAACTTTAATGCACAATTCTTCTAACCTTTGAGAAAACAATACCAACAAGCAACACATCTAACATGTATAAGTATAGAAAAAGATCAATGGTTTGTCCCACCCAGTATCCTCCTTCCCACCAGGGCCAATCAGAAGCATGTGATAAAGCACAGTCCTTTCTTGTATGGCAGATTTGAAGTCACACATCACAATAACGTCAGTTTCTTCTTTGAATCCCTTTCCAAATAACCCCGCCATGGAATTTCTCACAGCTGCTGCTTCACTGAGCTACCCAACAAGTCATCCAAATCCCTTTCTTGGTTAGCTCACTTTCAGTTCATTTTCCACCAGTGTATATGTGTAGTCAGGAATTTTGCTCCAATGTACTCTTATAAGACAGCCTTACAGGTAGCAATCACAGTCAAATCATTTGTTTATGTTTCTGAAGCATCATCCACCCAATTGCTCAGTTATATTATAGTGTGATCAAGCTCTCTATGGATTTAATGGAAGTATGACAGCATGACATGGAAATCCCAAAGCAATCTCTGTTAGGAAATTTATATTGCTGCAGCACTTATTTCTGCAAGATTGATGCAGTTTTATTGACACACGTTGAAAAAATGTACTGCATGATTTGCAGAAGTCATTGAGAAATAAATTGCAAGTGAAAGAAGGCAGCTATATTGTACAGCAGCGCCAGAGTCTTACTGAAGCTGAAAACACAACTAAAATATGCTTTGCCTGTAATGAACAAAAATATGTACCGTATCCTATCTTATCCTGACAATTTCAGAATTGGTTACCCTCAAAATAATCTTGATTTTAAACAAACACTTCATAGTGAATGACTTCTGAAAACATGCATCTTCACTAATATATACAAGCAAGTATATGATCTTTAAAAATGTATCTTATTATGTTTAATTATTGCATTAAAATGGATAGGAGAATTTGCAGCTATTCAAGCTGAGAGAGACTCATGACCAGAATGGGGAAGCTCCTGTCCCTGAACTGTTTTAATGAGATGCATACTAGAGATGGGTATGAATTAAAAACTGAACCAGGAGGTTTGTAAAAAAATCACTGATTCATTAATTTGGGTCGGTTCTGAAATGGAGAACATGAACTTTTCTGAACTAAAAAAGTTTTTCCTGATTTAATGAACCTCCTGGTTTGTTCCCATGTACAGACTGTCCTCCTGCTCCTTTCCAATTGTCGCCGTTGCCTTCCTACCTTGTCGTGCTGCCACAGCCACCACCATCTAAAAAGATAGTGGCCCGGCTTCCCTTCCAGCTAGCCTGCTATCTCTACATCTGTGCATGTACCTGCCTCTCAACTGTGCATGCACACAGGCAGCCAGCTGGGATTTGGCCATCTGCTTCTGGTGGGGAGATGTGTAGAGATCCCCCAGCCAACTGAGAGGCTGCTTGCCAATAATAACACTAACAATAACAATAACAATGATAATGATAGAATAATAATGGTGGTAGTGATGATGATGATGATGGCAACGACGACAATAATATAATAATAATAATAATTATTATTATTATTATTATTATTATTATTATTATTATTATTATTATTATTATTATTATTATTATTATTATTATTATTATTTTTAGCAGCCAGGTGTAATGTTTGTGGTTTGTTCAGGGACAATTCATAAATTTGTGGTTCATGGAAGATCACAAACCACAGACCAAGACAAATTGCCATTGTGGTGGTTCCTGCCCACCTCTAGTACCCACCGCTCCTGGTTCCTGAGTAGCCCCTGATTCAAGCTTGTCCTACCTATGACAACCCGTATGTAGTGTTGGCTATAACTATGGCATCAGCTATTTCTATAGCAAGGTTAACATTGTCAGTAGTTACAGACAAAGGTGTAGTAAAGCCCAGAAATCCTATATGAGCCATTTAGGTAACCGTACATTCAAAAAGCAAAGAAAATATTTCAAAATATTAAATATTTAAAATGTTGGCTCTCTCTGTTAAAAAAAAAAAAAGGTCCACCGCAGTGTTTTCAGTGTTTGCTCTGTAAGCTGCTTTGGACTTCAACCAGCAGATGGGCCTATCACCATGACTGCTAGGAAGGGATTCCAAAACATTTGAAAGAACTGATGGCTGGGAGCTTATAGTCTAGAAAAGTCAAGCACGGAGCCAAGTATTAATTGGCCACACAGATACTCTCAATATTAACTACATTTTCAGTCATTAAACACATTAGCCACATTACTTTGAAATTGTCAGATAGTTCTGGGTTGACAGTTGATTTAGAGATTTTGTCAGTCTTGCCAACTTTACTTTCACAAATAAACTATTTCCTGTTTTATGGAGTCATATTTTTGATGGTTACATTAAAATTTATTTTTAGAGTGCTCTGTTTCACTGTCAACATTTTGGTGGGTATCAAACCAGTTATTTTAAACTAGAGAAATAGGATTCAGTGTCAGGAGAGCAAAAACCAGGTTCATGCAGAAACCAACAACATACTCTGGTGAGAAGCTTGTGCAGTGACTGTGAATGCCACAGAATATGAGGACCTAAACATATGCAATCTTCACTTAGATTTTTGTTTCTCCTTGTTGAAAGTAACTGTTGCCAATGAAAGTAGCTTTGCTTTCCTCTTAAAATACTGAGATATCTGAGAAAGAAAAATCCCTGTACTGCCTACTGAGATGGACAAAGAACCAAAATAGTTTATTCAAAAATCTATCTATTCAAACTGAGTGCGCTATAAAAAGAAACAAACAAAATAGGCAAATTGATTGGTACTGATGCTCCTTTAGCATAAAATGGACTGTAAAACTGACATCATCCTTTGATGCCTACATGCTACTGAATGACTGCATTCTGAATTACCTTTATACAGTTGGATTTTTTAGAAATATGCAAAAAAGGTAAGCTTTCTTTTAAATGGTAACAAGTAGCTTTGTCAATCAATTGTAAGCCATATATCATAGAATTAACTTGTATTGTGAACTCATATGTGCATATTAAATTCAAGAATCAGGTTGAATTCCATGCATTTTCTACCATTTACAAAACTTTGCATATTTGGAGTA